TATGTAAGTATAATATATTTTCTTTTAATGATGTTTTCAAATGAATTTTTTGTTTTGTTGGTTAGTGCAAAACCATCAGCATTGAAAATTAGTTTGAAAAATTGGTATCATAAATTACATCGGATTGATCTGAATTTCCTTCGACAAGTTACAAATTTTATTGAATTAATTACATTTATCAACCCTGAATTGGAAAGTAAAGGATTTATATTTTATCATGGTATGAAAAAACAGACATATGCATATGGTGAAAAAGTTTGTGAATGGTTATCATTGAAACATCGAGAAAATTATCCACAAAAAATAGAAATATTATCGGGAAAATCTATACGAAAAGTTGCATATGGATCAAATATGGTGGTAATATTGACTGAAAATGATGGACAAATTTATTTAGCTGGTGGTAGTTCACTATGGCCAAAATCATCAAATGATGAAATGCGTTTATTATCGAAAACAAAACATTTCAGAGATATTGCTTGTGGTGGTTTACATATGCTTTGTTTGGAAGAGAATGGTCATCTTTATACAATCGGTTGTAATGATTATGGTCAATGTACATCGACAAAAGATTATGATTTTGAAAATTTGATCGATACTGAATTAACAAATATTCGAACAATTGCATGTGGTTGGATGCATTCATTAGCTATAACGGATGATAATCGTCTACTTGGCTGGGGTATGAATTTTTCGAAACAAATCGCAAACGATAATTCTAAAAAAATTACTAAACCATTTTTAATGATGGCCGAAGGTCAATACGATGATAAATATGAAAGTATTACAGCTGGTCATGAATTTACATTAGCAATTACAACCAGAAAACTAGTTCGATGTTTTCAAAATAATCGAGATAATTTTGAAAGGCGAATAATCCTTACTTTTAAAAATGAATATGATTTCAAAGCAATCGAAGTGCTGTCATTAGCATCAACAGGTTTAATTAGTTTTTTTTATGAAAACCATGATGATTGTACGAATATTGTTATTTTTGATCAATATTCTTCATCATCATCGAAAACAATTGAAGCGAACAATTTTCAGGAAATGCTAGACAAATTTTTTATAAAACCAATAACATTTGGTTGGAGTATGAATACATCCGAAGTTGATTTGAATCTTTATCATTATCAGATGTCTGAATCAATAGAAGCTACGTTTGATCTTCCCGATTCGGATGTAAATGATTTAAGATTTGAATTTTTAAATGTTAATGATGATAATACGAAAAAACGTAGCCGATATATTTATGTACAACGATCATATCTACGTATGGTATCCGAATATTTTAATCGAATGTTTTCAAATGAATGGAATGATCAGAAAGTGATTCGAATATCAACAATATCATATGATATTTTCCATCAATATATTCAACTTTTATATTTTGGTAAAATTCATCTAAATGATTCGAATGTTAAAGAATTTTTGGATTTAGCTGAATGTTTTTTTGATAAAAATTTAAAAGAATTTTGCAGAAATTATTTGGAACAAAATTCGACAAAATTTAAATTGAACAAAAATTTGTCAAATTCTTCTTCGATTTTGTCAGTTGTTCATAATAAAATAGGCTTGTAAGTATAATATATTTTCTTCAAATAACAAAATGAAATTTTTAATGCTGCTTTTTTTTTGTTAGTTCAAAATCATCAGCATTAAAAATTGGTTTGAAAAATTGGTATCATAAATTATATCGGATTGATCAGAATTTTCTTCATCAAGTTACAAATTTTATTGAATTAATTACATTTTTCCAATTTGAATTGAAAAGTGGTGGATTTATATTTTATCTTGGAATGAAAAACCAAACATATGCATATGGTGAAACAGTTTGTGAATGGTTATCATTGAAACATCAAAAAAATTATCCACAAAAAATTGAAATATTATCTGGAAAATCTATCAGAAAAGTTGCTTATGGAGCAAATATGGTGGTAATATTGACTGAAAATGATGGACAAATTTATTTAGGTGGTGGTGGAATGCGTTTATTATCGAAAACAAAACATTTCAAAGATATTGCATGTGGTTATTCACATATACTTTGTTTGGAAGAGAATGGTCATCTTTATACAATCGGTTTGAATGATTATGGTCAATGTGGTAATGGTACAACGATAAATGATTATGAAAATCTAATCGATACTGAATTAACAAATATTCGTACAATTGCATGTGGTTGGTTGCATTCATTGGCCGTAACGGATGATAATCGTTTATTTGGTTGGGGTTGGAATTTTTCGAATCAAATCACAAACAGTGATGATGAAATGATTACTAAACCATTTTTAATGATGGCCGAAGGTCAATACAATGATAAATATGAAAATATTTCGGCTGGTGAAAGATTTACATTGGCAATTACAACTAAAAAAGAAATTCGACAATTTAAAAATTTTAATTTTAATTCTGATTCTGATTCAATTTATATACCATCATTTTATAAATATAATTTTGAAGCAACCGAAATATTGACATTAGCATCAACAAATTTAATTTGTATTCTATATGAAAATCATCGATTTAATGATACAAAATTTTTAATTTTTGATCCATTTTCATTATTATTTTCACCAAAAGAAGCATTTATGGAATCAAATTTTCAGGATTTATTTGAAAAATTTTTATCAAAACCAATAACATTTGGTTGGTGTATGAATACAGACGAATTTGATTGGAATCTTTATCATTATTTTATGTCCGAATCAATAAACGCTACGTTTGATTGTCCCGATTCTGAAGTAAATGATTTACGATTCGAATTTCCAAATGATGATTTTGATGATACGAAAAAATGAAGCCGATATATTTATGTTCAACGATCATATCTACGTATGGTATCCGAATATTTTAATCGAATGTTATCGAATGAATGGAATGATCAGAAAGTGATTCGAATAACAACAATATCATATGATATTTTCTATCAATATCTTCAACTTTTATATTTTGGTAAAATTCATCTAAATGATTCGAATGTAGAAGAAATTTTGGATTTTAGAAACATTCGTCAAGCTCAGATAAAACACAATAAAAAAAGACGTCGTATTCTAAGATATAAACCAATTCATCCCGAGCTATCTTTTTAGAAAGTGAAGTACCAAAACTACCAAAGCAAGAGTACGTTTTTTTGGAAATTTGTCAATAATTATTTAAAAAATGAAAAATGAAAAAAAACAATCGTAAGTTTTTGATTAATAAAATTTATAAAAATTGAAATCATATTAATTGTATATCATTACAGTCAATCATCAATAAACTCATCTTCGGATAAAAATGAAAAAGAAAAAAAAATGAAAATGATTAAAAAACGATCGTAAGTTTTTATTATAAATCTCAATATATTTCAATTAATTTGATGATAATATATTTATTAGGTAAAAAATATTTAAAAAATATCCTAATTATGAAATAATAATAAGTGGTCACTTTAATTCTCACCATAAAACTTGGAATAATCAAAGGAATGATCGTCGTGGCCGAAAATTGTTTTACAAATTTAGTATTACGATGATTGTTTTAGAAATTTAATTTTACGATGATTGTTAATAAAAAAAAATTAAAAAAATGTTGTTTGAAAATTGCAATAATGCGTGGTGTTTGATGATATTTGACGGTTAATATTTTGATCGTATTCGATGGTCCATTTTTTTGCTGTGATGGCATATGAAAAGCTGATGGATAAGCTGGCAAGGATGGTAAGCTACTTTGGAATCAACATATAGATTATGTAACTGCAAAAGCTTTAAAAATCTATATTCTACTTCGAAGAAAATTTGGTAATACATGGGGGTTCACGAGCATTACCAGAACGTATAGCTTTGATTTTATATTCAAGTTGATTTTCCATAAATCTTTTATACTGTAAGAAAATATCAAAAATTTCAGATCTATACTTTAAAAAATAAACAATTGTATTTCGTGAAAAATCATCGGTAAATAGTACAAAATATGTGAACCCATTATAGCATTCATCGATTGGCCCACATATATCAAAATGTACTAAAGATAAAGGAAAATCAGATATTGAATTAGATTGTTTGTATGGCAAGGATTTGAATTTAGATAAAACGCATGTCTCACATTTAATCGGATATATTATAGGTATATTCAATTGTTCAGCAATTTTCATAGTTTTTTCAATACCAGGATGACCAAATTTTTGATGTAAAAATGAAGAATGTTCAGAAGCAGAAAAGGCTTTAAAATCTTCACGAAATTCAATACATGGCATACCATTAATATCTTCAAGCTTATAGCTTCAAAAATCAAAGACTGGTCTCGAAAAATAAACGATTTTTCATAGGTAGAAATAATTTTAGTAACAATATTATCTTTAAATAGAATTGATTGAGAAATCAGGTTGTTTTTGAAAGATGGAACATAGAAAACGTTTTTCAGGTAAAGAACAAA